GTCAAACAAGCTACACAAAGCCCCGCATCTGTGATCGTCACAGAAGCATCTAGAGAAGTATTTCATAGCAAAACATGTTCATTTTCAACTTTGTGCTATCAAACAAACCATAGAGTGCTTTGAAGAGTCAGATTCGATAATGGAAAACAATCCTTTATAGCACTGACTGATTAGGAATGGGGCTTGGGTAGCAAGTTAGCAGTAACAAGCAGTCTGTAACAAAGATATGCATAACCCAGACCCAGACCCCACACTTTGAGCTGTAATCAGGTCCTGCTGAACCGTCCTCTTTACATCATCCTAAATGTCTCCTGTAATTCAGTGGGAGAAAAGTGTGGCTAAAGAACTTGCCTCTTCCAATGAAAGGAAGTTACCATAAAGTAGAGCAGACATCAGATCATGGATACCAGCTCTCCTGTCTTAGACAATACTGCTCCACTGCTTAAATAAAAAAAATCTTGTTTACTATTAAGAAAACTAGAAAAGAAATACTGGGTATATTCTATTATTGTAAGTAGATTCATGTTATCTTAATTTTTCACTTGAATTCTTGATTTTTACTGCACCCTAAACAGCCATTAGAAAGTTACTTCTTGCTTTAACTTAAAATATTGAATGTTGAAAATGCTTAAAGATTATATGACTGTTTAGACTAGTTTCCAGTTGTGTAGCAATGAATGTATTCTGTCTGCTTGTTACAAAAAGTACTCAGATTGTATAGAAATCGATGAAGAATTGGACCCTACTCTTTACTTGCTGATGGTATTTGCTGATATCGCTGTTAGTATTTGTAACAGCTGAAAAAGGACAATTTTATGTAAAAAAAGAGCCGGGAGAAACACCATTCAAACATATAATGAGCTGATGTTGCATAGTTTGTCCACCAGAGGGCACTCTGCAACTTCCCTGTGTTTGGACTGGCACAAACACAGTAACCAGCTGCCCTGAGCCGAGTCAGGTTAATGGGTGTTAATGGGTAATCTTGTTGTAAAAATAAAACAGACTATTTTTAAGCTGCATTATCATATAATTTAATTTATTTAATTCTTAAATAACTACACATAACAGATATGAGTGAAATCTGTTTATATTGTGCGTGCCTGAAAAATATCACTTCCTGGTAATAAATAAAAGGCCCTCATTCCAGGATAAATATTAGGGAGAGGACGTGCTACCAGTGTAGTTATCAAGAGCTCAGTCGGAGTTACAGGCAATTGTAAACCAATGACAACATATTTATAAATGCTGTATTTCAACCTTACCAGTAGATCATGCCAGGGCAGCAGTCACTGGCACGAGTCCTGCTACCAAAACTAGCTTGCTGTTATGGTAGGCCAGTCCTGGCATGTTCTCACCTGATCAAGGACCTGGTGTGAGCTTGGATTAAGACCTTTACAGGAATAGCTTTCCCTGCTTTAGAGCTCAAAACTCGCCATTGCATTTCTCATGAAACAATTGGTTGTTAATTTCCCAGCTAACAGATACACTTGCCTTAAAGTATTTTTATTTCTCTGGAAATCTCTTGTTAGGAAATCTTTACATCTTGTACTGTGCAACTTTTGTCCAAATTGCACTGTGTGTAAAACATAATGCACATTATTTACTCTACACATCAGTATCTGAAAATAGGTTAAAAAATTCTTGTTAACTTGTAATCAGAAGAATGTAATCATTATTCCGGGTAAGGATTCCATTCTTCTCTGTAACTGCATATGCGAGCTGCCAGATTGTTTTGATAAAATGCGTTTTTGCTGTATACCTATAAACAGGACATTCCTTAGAACAAGCATCCGTGTTAAACAGGCCTTCGCTGAGTAAATAACAGTTAAATAATCTAGAAAGGAGTCACGTGATGCAGGAGGAGCTGTGTAAGCAAAAACACGGATTAAAGGAGTAGTAAACATAGCTGAATCTTAAATTACAATGCCAGAATAAATAGTTACATTAAACAACACTGCAGCATGTGGTCAAGTCCCCCATAATGGCAACAGACCAAACAACTGCTAAATTAGAAAAGCCACCACAGCACATGACAATGACAGAAAGACGCCATCATGCCGGGGCCATATGGAGGACCCCTCACTTTTATGGTGTTGTTGACAAAATGCCTTTAAGAGCTGTTATTACAGCTTCCTGCCCCGCAGACAGACTGCAGGAGCCCTGCAACCTTTATTTTCTCTCTCCCTCCTCCCAAACCATCAGATCCTCATTACATCCGAGTCAAAACCAAAACACTCTGCTGTCACCCTGCGTGCATGCAATGCAGAAGACGTCAGGTTTGGCTGCAGTCACGCTCGTGGATGCTGCTGCTGAGCAGACAAAAAGTAAACAGTGATGATAGTAATTTCTTCAAAGTAAGAGCAGCTCTCGGGCTAATTACAGTGACAGGTCAACTGCTGTGCGCCCCTAAAATAGCCATTTTCTTAATTACAACACAAGGGTCATTGGTCGTGATGATTGAAAGCCACGCGCGTGCACGTGCGAGGACTTTTGCAGCTGGAGAAACACGTAAGAAAACCTGGAAGTAATTTCAAGTCAAGCCGTTTTTATGCAACAATTAATAGCGTGTTTATTCTGGAGCAGACTCTGAAGTCTGCACGGTAAAGCGGGCCATTGTGCACGACTGCGTGCACATGTGTCCGTGTGTGTTTTAGGGGGCGTTGGGGCCGATTGTAGCAGCAGAAAGAATGAAGAAAGCAAACACTGCACAGTCCTTCAAAATGAAAAGCAACAAGTCATGTTTGACTCGTGCAAGAGTGTCAGAGCTGAACCACTCATTCAAAGTTTACAAACTTCTGCAAAAGCACGGATGCGTCGACTCGGCGACAAGTTACAAAAATGGGGAAAAAAACAGGCGTGCTCCAACTCACCGGTGCCTCTTTGTACCTGCTGGACCCCCGCGCTGGAAGACAAAGCATGACCTGTAAGTACTGCAGCGCAAAAACACAGCAGCACACGACCAGAGAAGTCCGCATCATTGCAGCCATCGGAGCCGTGGTGGTGGTGCACAGGAGAGCTGTTTTGCGGAGTGCAGAGCCCGGAGTCACACCGCTGCAGGATCTGGGGCAACTTATATAGACAGATTTCTTTGTTCTCAGTTTTTTTTTCTCCAGATAGACTTTCTTTTTTTTCTTCTTCTTTTTTCTACAGCCCCGGGCTGATAATACCACCCGCTACCATGTGACTCGTAACCCTTTCACTGCCACGCCTGTCAACGCAAAACAGATGATGTTGATGGCTTTGGGATTTTCACCCACCTGTTATGTTTTATTTATTTATTTCAGAGACAAGATTAAGTTTAACCCAGGATTAAGTTTAAGTGGGGAAAGTGCATGAACTATAAACTCAAACACATCGGAACTATTCAGTACTTTTAGAAAAAATGTAATGCGATTATTCTGAAAACAAGATGAAATAAGAGTGAGTGGGAGATTTTTTTTAAACTTAATTTCGTTAATCACGCAGGTAGCATGTAATCGGCTCTGTCTGTCTTGTTTGTTCGCAGTTAACACTTTTCAAGATATCATTTTTAAATTTTATGTGATGGTAAAAAACAAAAACAGCCAGAGCTGATTTATTCTTCCTGAAAATATGTTCAAGGTCAAAGTCAAAGTGATCTACAGCAAATGTGAGAATCAATAATCCCACTTTTTAAACATTATTCTCAAACTTCACATCAATATACTATTGAGTCATATACCATATGGAGAGAACTGTACAGCACACTTTTTATTTAAAAAAAAAGACCTACAAGATCACACTGGCGCCAAAAAGTAAGCAAATTCACACAATGCATGAATGTATCTTCAAACCTCATTTTCGTTACAGCTTATAGAAGCCAAAGTTTTCAGCCAATTTGGCTCCGACCATATGTGCAAAGATAATAAAATAAAACATTTCAATATGTAATTCTTCAGTGTCACAGGTCAAAGGTCAGGGTCAGGTGAATTAGGAAAAAGCTTTAGTTTCCATTGGATGATGCCCAAAATGTAAAGCAATAGATTATGTTGATGTCATTGGGCGACATAAGCATTTTCTTTGTTTGAGATCTGTAGAATCTGATTTTTCAACACATAAATGTATGAATTCACAATAACACGCAAAGATTAATACACTACTAGATTTCCATAGTACCAATGCTGACATCAGCATTAATCATCTATAGAAACTGTTGATATCATCGCATTGTAATAAAAAAAAGGCTGACATCAGCATGTTGTAATAAGAATATCATAAAACGTCAGAGTTTTAGGATTGTGTTCGGCCTTCTGGTGGAATGTAATGGTATCACATGCAAAGCAGGTGTGATTTAAACTTTTTGTGTTGCCTGACACCAAACCCCCTTTTCTTGGTAACATTTTGGGTGATTGTGCCAGCACATTATTGAGTTAGGTTAGGGTAAGCACTTATACAATGACATAATTCTGAGTGCATCATTAGGAAATAAGACTCTGAGTTCATTTCCAATAAGTGTTATTACTAAAGATTTAAAACCTGTAAATCAGGGTGTCCTTACTTTCACAAAATTCCCTTATTGTTGGAAGTGGCTGCAGTGGAACTGCTGCCAATCTCACCTCTGACTGTCATATCATGGAAACTTTATTACTACATTAGCTACAAACACCTGGAAGGGGTCCAGCCAGAACTCTAGAAGCTTCAGGTGGGTTTAGTGGGTCACTGGTGAGGACTGGACCTCAAAGTTTGTAACATTTAACTAAACAAATGGAAACTTTGTGTCTGTACATGGTTTTTAATACTCTATTAAAGCGTAACATGTCTAAAAGTAGACTTGTAAGTGATAACACTGGGCCTATATGACCTTTATAGATGAGTGATGTACCCCAAGGAAGAGAGGTTATCCAGAGATTCCACTGGATTCAGTGTAGAGTCTGTAAACATATATAACTGAGTCATTTTAATTGTAATAAAGCTTAAAGTTGTGTATGAATAAGGACAGGCCTCCTTTGATTGACTGGTGTGCCAAAAGATATAACTGATAGGTGTCTGCTTTTACACACTTCTGATTATTTGAATTACTGAGCTGGTTTTCTGTCCACTGTTTCAAGGTTGTGAACACTGCTGCAGTCTATCCTGGCTGCCATGGGGCAAGAGGCGGGTCACCTGTCTGTCACAGCGCTAACACATTGAGAAAGACAAACATTCCCACCTATGACCAGCTACGAATGGCCAATTAACCCATGAACGGGTGAACACAGGGAGGAGGTACAAACCCAACCTCTAGACTGCCACGTCGCCCGTTTTGGAGCATTTTAATGCAATTTTGTGACAACTAATATGAAATGATGTGTTTATTGTAATAAGAGCCCTGTTTGTGTGTGTGTGTGTAATTGAAAAACTTAATAGCCAAATAATATCACATAGGCAGGTCAAAAAACATCAATTTCATTGACTGCAAACTTTATTCCAAAACAGTTTTGTTTCATAAATGCAAACTAATTAAATTCATGCGTGCGTCACTTTAATGTAGCTAGCAGTAAAGCTCTACCTAACCATTTACATAAAAAGCGTGCTTGCATGTGGTTTTCTCTCCTTGTGGTGTCATAGTTGACCCATCATTAATACATCGTTCATTCCTACATTACAGCATTAAATATAACACTGATAGATTAATCCTATTAAATCCATTAATAGAATTTTGTATGAGTAATCTGAATTTGTAAAGTAATTAGTAACTGAAGTTACAGTGACGGCTGTCTAGGGCAGCCCTGTGACAGCTGGGATAGGCTCCAGCCCCCCTGCAGCCACGAATTGGATAAGCTGTGAATGGATGGATGGAAATCGAATACAAGTATTTTAGTTGCACAATTTAGCTTGTACTTGTTGTACTTTGTTACTTTCCAGTACTGCTAATATTTGCCCAATAGAGTTTGATGAAAGGACACTGACCTCTTAGGGAGGAGTATGAGTGAGGTGAAGTTTTTATAGCAATTCAAGGAGTGTGTGTGTGTGTGTGTGTGTGTGTGTGTGTGTGTGTGTGTGTGTGTGTGTTGACGCAAGACTAAAACCTCAAAATACTTGGAATATCCATCAGTCTATTTTTATCAGTTGCAGCGCCGTCCCTTCGTGAGGAAAACCTCTTTGTGAGCCGGTGTGAGAACACTTCTGTAATTATAACCACTAATAGCGGTAAAGAATTTAGCAGTGCCTTTCTGTGTAATGACTGTCAGGTTTCTGAAGGCTTTTTGAACGTATTAAAGGGTTTCAATAAAATCTGATTGGCTGACAGGGAACTGCAAGCCCTGCACCACATCAGGCCTGTTATCTGCAAGTGTAATGACAGAGAAAAAGGAAAGGCTCTGTAAGAAAGTAACACTACTCATTTCTGGACTGTAATTAATGTTACTGCATGCAGATGAATTACGTAAACAGGCTGATTTAAAGCTTGCACTGGGCTAATGAGAGTGTATATAGAGAGAACCTCAGCACGACACGGTTGTTTTTGTCCACTGTGACAAATTAAACTGTAACTGACCAAAATGATAAACATTTATTATGATTAAAAAGAAACATTTGCAATTTCAAATCCTATAATAAATAACACCGAAGTCTTTCAATGTAAGAAACCTTTATTCTTTTGAGCATCACAAACTTTCAGGGGACACCCAAAAGTCCAGTTATTTTACTAAATAAATTTGTATTTTACGCACTCTACGCAGTCCGGTGATAACCATTGTGAATCACAGGAGTTTGTAGAACCAAGTTCAGCAGTAAAAACTTGAAGTAAATATTTTATTGTTCTCTCACATCACTGAGGAGTTGTGAATTTGAATTTTGGCCCACTATTCTTTGCTGCTTCAGTTCATTGAAGTTTCCACACATTCATTTATTCACAGCTCTCTTAAGGTCCTGCCAAAACCTTGATTGTGCCTTTGCAACATCTTCTTATTATTTTCTTTTTCAGCCAATCTGTTGTAGATTTGCTGCTGTGCTTTGGATCATTGCTCTGTTGCTTTAGCCAGGCTTTAACTGCATTTGACTCCAGAACACTTTGGTATCCAGACGAGATTAGACTCAAGCTGTCCGATCCTCACGCCTCCACTACAGCTTGACAGTTGGTATGAGGTGTTTGTGCTTATATGCTGTGTTTGGTCTTCACTAAACACAGCATATAAGTGCTGTAAATTGTGTGCAAATGTAATTGGGATACAGTGTGCAGTGCTTTTGGTCCAGATGAACAGAATCAACCTTTTAGGATTTACTTACCTGGATGATTGAGCACGGATCAAGACGTTTATTTACATGCAATTTTGCAAACCTAAGGTGCGCTGCCATGGTCTGTTTACTGAGAAGAGCCTTTCTTCTAACAAGTCTTCCAAACAATTCAGTCTTTTTCTTTTTGCACAATCACAAAGTTTAATATTTAACATGCAAACTGAGGCCTGTAGAGTCTGGGATGTAGCTGTTGGGTTTTCTGCAGTTTCTCTGAGTGCGGTCTGATCTTGGGGTGAATTTGCTGGGACGTCCACTTCTGGGAAGATTGTGGTGTTGTTGTAACGTAGACTGGAAAGCTTCAGACAATCAAAAACTGTCAAAATGTTTACTTTTTAGAGGTAGTCAAACTTCAATTAGTCAGGTGCGTTTGATTAGCTCCAAATAGCTGATACTGTCCTATGTTTTCATAGGAATGCTTTCCTGTGAAAATGTCTTTCTTCACATGACTGTAAATACCAGCAAAGCATAAAATGCTGGAAATGTTTTTGACTTCCAGGCTTTCTAGTAAATAATATAACCACCAGCCTGTCACATGTGCCTGCAAAATGCTTTTCAAAATGACTAAAACCTTGGGGGGAAACATTAAACTGAATAGAAGTAACGAAAGGCTGTGTTGAAACATGAATTTCAAGGGTACAAATTGATGTCTTAGAGTAAGATGGACTCTTTTCTCCCCACAACCACTTGTTTAGAAAAAGTGCTTACGCTGCAAACCGGAGCTCAACTTTTGCTAATACGGTCACATGTTTTCACTCACTGGCACTTCATCAGCATGTGATATAAAGCCATGGTCGGAGATAACAAGCT